AAAATAAAAAAAACTAAATAAATATTTGTAAAATTTTAAAAAAAACGTAATTAATACTGTGGGGTTTTTGGACACCCCACTGAGAACTGTTGTTTTTCTCTTACTGGAATTTCTGCAGCATCGTAGTAATTTCTGAGCATGCTCTATACATAAAATCATGAAGCTACTGAAGAAGACACAAATATTTCTTGCGAAATCTATGAATAGTGCAACTTTTAAAACGTTGGGGTGGCGAAACACCCCACTGCACTACCCCAGGGTTTAATAAGACCAAAAACATTTGTTATTAAATAGTTCTGCTGCTTGAAAGGTTGTGAGAGTATTTGTAAGTACTAATATATTTATATTATTAAACATAAAACAAAATTAAATACTTTAAAATACTAAATGTTGCAAATTTACTAGATAAATTCCATTTAAATATTTAAAAATTAATAATCAAAGACAAACTTGCCTTAATTGCAGATGTATATTTTCCCTCAGGGCTAACATCTGCGTGTCTATTTAATAGATTTTCACGTGGTATTCTGTACTGATTAAATGAAACAAACCTATAATTGAACAAATATTTATAAATTCGGAGTAGTTGAAACAAATTATAAATATTTAACTTCTTATCGTTACTCATTTAGTCATTTTTGTAAAAGAGTAATTTTTACAAAAATTACTAAATGAGTAATGTCGTAGTAGTTAAAAGCAATTTTTATACAGAGTAGGTACAATGTCTCTATGCATATGGCCATGTCCTGGAGCTCGAATTAGAGACTAAATTAATGACAGATTCGGCAAATGAGGAAATGGATAGTGTGGTAGTATGCCGTATTGTCTGTTTTTGTCTTTCTTACATTTTTCCCCCTGCTCTTTGTTCTTTCTCCCTTCTAAAACTCTCTAATCTCCTTAATTCTTTCTTCTTGGAAGTGAGGGCCCACTTCCTGGAATAATGAGTACAAGGTTACCTGAGAGCATACATTGGGAAGAAGGGTCACTTTTGAGCTGGTGTTCAAAAGAGAGAATGACAAAAAAGCAGAGACGTGATAGTCTCCAGTAATGATGTGCCGGATCGTTTAAAATGTATATCTGCGGATACGGATACGGATCATTAGTGTCTAGATCCGCGGATACGGATACGGATCTCAACTGTTGTACTGAGTCGGTGCCCGTGAGTGTGATCTTGGACTGATAGTTGACGCTTTGCGTTAATAACGCGACGTGTTTTGACTTGCACTGCACGTGTTTTTGTTTATAGTGTGAAAGTGTGCTAAATTAGAATTCACCACAAAGGCAGACAGGATAAAGTAACAAAAGTTGATATAATTTTCCAATTAAGCTATTTCGCGTCTTTATAGTGTGAAAGTGTGATAAATTAGAATTCACCACAAAGGCAGACAGGATAAAGTAACAAAAGTTGATATAATTTTCCAATTAAGCTATTTCGCGTCTTTATACAGATTCTATTTCGGGGGATTCCACGGTACAAACAGTAGCATGCAAAATTACAACGATAATAATAGTTCGCTGTATCCAAAGCACGTGTACAATACAGATCCCGATCGCAACAATATAACCCGGAACCTTAAAACTAACCTTAAACACTAACGTAACACTAATAACAGAAAAAGGGATAGAATTAAGACAGAAAAAATGGTAGATAAGATAGAAATAGGGATATCTGAGGTTTTGTCTCTTTTTTTGGCTTGTTTCTTTATGGGTACTGTTGGGTGGGACATACGTCCCTCTCCTATAACTGGCCAGTTCTCTTCTTCAATAATTAGGATTTTTCCTTCCACAGTCATCAATACGACCTTAAAACAGGATCTTTTTTCTGAACTTATTTCTGAACTATTCGGTAATTGAAAATACGACGCCCAGTATTCTCACCTCATCCGTACACTCTGCCGTCCAGTTTACGAATGACCTGCTACGTCACTTCTGTTTTTTCTCCGGCTCCTGTTTACACCTTTGCTCCTCAAATTTCTAGGAACTGCTCATCGTACCCAAGGGACAGGGAATAGATAAGAAAGTTCTAGAAAATAGAACAAAGGGTAGAAAGAAGAAACGAAACTAAACTAAAATTAATATTTACATAAATATAGCGTACCGCCACAATAGTTTAGTGCAGTGTTTCCCAACCTTTTTGTGCTATGCCCCACCTAAGCCTTTCTAAAATTCTTATGTCTCCCTAACATATACAGCGGCTATACGGTTAACTTAAACTCTGGACAAGTCCATTTTCGAATTGTCCTTTTTAGCAATCCAATTGCCCCCTGTGGGGCGTGGGCCCCACGTTGGGAAACACTGGTTTGTGGCTAGTGTGACACGGGATAGCGTAGGTTACGTTTGTGTTTTTGGAGAGTGTTGAGTTAAATTAAAATAAAAACAATGTCGACAAAAAAGTTTAGTAGTGTAATATGGAAATATTTTACGATAGTAAATGACGAATGTGCTAAATGTAAAATTTGTGAAGGAAAGTATTCCCGTAAGGGTAAAGGTACAACATCGTTAAAAAATCACCTCCAGAGGAAACATCCACAAGAATATGCTTTATTCTTAAAAGAAGAGTCTGCTAAGAAGAGTGCCGACGAAAATGTTCAACAGGGAACATCTTTACAAACGGTAAAAAGAGAATTTAGACAAACATTTTTTAATGAATACATAGAAAAACTCAAAAGGTGGGATAATACAAACCCCAAATCAATAAAAATTGACTATTTAATTGCAAAAATGATAGCTTTATCTGATTTACCTTTTCAACACACAGAAGGATTGGGGTTCCGACGATTGTTGAATCATGTTGTTCCAAATTATGTTCTAAAAGGCAGGAAATATTTTACGGAACTTGTTTGCAGCGAACTTTACGATAAAGTGTCATCGAAAATAAAGATCATATTGAAGGATTTTGAGAAAGTTTCCTTTACATCAGATATCTGGTCAGATTCTTCGTCGGGAGTTTCATTATTATCCTTAACATGTCATGGTATTAGAAAAGATTTTAGAAGAAAAAATATCGTTTTGAAAACGGAGAATCTTGACGAACGCCACACGGGAGATTACATTTCGGCAATATTTCAACGTATGCTCGAAGAGTGGGGAATCTCAAAACAGAATGTGCACTGCATAGTAAGAGATCCAACATGAAGCGTGCCTGCACTTTATCTGACATAAATAATATCGACTGTACAGCACATCAGCCGCATCTGGTGGTCAAAAAAGCTATTAAAAATGTTGATGCAATATCCATGTTACTTACAAAATGCAGAAAAATTGCAGGACATTTCAACCATTCTACAATGGCAAAGCAAGAATTAGAAAAAATACAAGTTCGACTCAATCAAAGAGTTTTAAAAGTTTTGCAAGACTCGCCGACACGCTGGAATTCCAGCTATTATATGTTGGAAAGACTTGATTGCATTAAGGATTCGTTGTCGCTTTATTCTACTAATAATAAAATAGAACAGTTTGATGCCGAAGAGTGGATTTTAACTCAAGAATTAGTGAGAGTACTGAAGCCTCTGGAGGATACCACAAAAAAATTGAGCGCACAAAACATATGTATATCCGACATTATTCCTCTAGTATAAGCATTAAATAAATTGTATGACGAGATTCAAATTTCTGCTAACAGTGGGGAAACTCAACATCAGCACACCTGCCGTTCTTGATTTTTTGTCTTCTTTGAAGAATGAATTAGATTATCGTTTTTCTGAAATCGACAAAAATATATTGTTCCAAATAGCAACATTTTTAGATCCACGTTACAAAGGTAAATTTTTCAGTGATTTTCTTATCAAAGATATAAAACAGAAACTATTTACAGCTTTAGAAACAGAAGTAAATATCACAACAACTACAACTAGCACAGAAAAATCAAATGCTGTAAGAAAAGAATATTGCAACAATTTAGAAGACTCTATGGCTAACATGTTAGATAGTGACGATGAAGATGAGGAATCTGAAAACCAAATATCATACACTAATGCTAATTTGCTGGCAGGATATGCCTAAGAAAAAAGATTATCAAGTGACCAAGATCCATTAAAGTATTGGGAGATTAATAGTAAAAAATTTGGAGGTCTTAGTCACGTGGCTCGCACATATTTATCGTCACCTGCAACAAGTGTTCCAAGTGAGCAGTTTTTCAGTGCAGCAGGAATTATTTATGATCCTCATTGTAATAACTTTTGGGGGATAAAGCTGCCAAGTTACTCTTTTTGAAGTACAATTTACCATTAATTAATTTTTATTACGACATTTAATTTTTCTGAAGTTTCTAAAAATGTGATTATTTTATCTGATAATTTGATAATTAAAATTCTTTGATAATTATTATAATATAATATAACCGTGATGATTATTTCAATTAGCATTAGAGGTTTGATCTCACTATAAAGATAGTTAAATTAATACCTTATATTGGTAACTTACTATAATTAATGTTTAAATATTTAATTTTTGATTTGAATTGAAGTTATTAGTATTTTATTGCAACCTATCTTTAAAATTTCATATAAGTAATGAAATTCATTAAGATAAAAGATCCGTTAAAGATCCGCTAAAAAGTAACGGATACGGATACGAATACGGATCTGTTTTTTCCCTCGGACATCCACGGATACGGATATCCGGCACATCACTAGTCTCCAGTACACAAGTAGATGGGCGAAGTCATAAATTCAAGCGAGAATCCTTGAAATTCCTGGGCTGAAGTTAACGTGTTGAAGTCGACATTCAACTTGACCAGTTGTGAGTTCCAAACAAGCAACTGATGGTTTGATATAAATAAAAACCCTCAAGAACCAAGGAGAAGATGGAAGTGCAAGAAGTTTCATGAGGCCCCTCATGACAATGAGAACTCAAAGACATTCACAGGACTCGAGTACCTTTGTTCTGTCCTATCCACCTGCTTTGAACACCTGAAAAAGGACTGCCCCAATATTCAACATTGTAATCACTGTTCAAAGAGTCAGAGATTTAATGAATGCCACAAAAAAAGATGAACCTCCCTGTTGCAAAACAGACTGGTGAATAAAGAACTTCCAGACAAAAAGCTTTTTTCAACAAACCACAATGCATTTAACTCTAATTGCCCAATTACAAATAGAACGAAAAACCTCGCTGTGAAACATATAAATTATGGATTGTGATATGAACCTGGATCACAACACAACTTATTCTATATCTGTCAAATCCTTCTCCATTTTACAAATCAATACTCACAGAGATGCAGAGCAGCTTCCTCTCTTGTGGTGCAGTTTGCTGAAGAAAAGGATGCTGACATAATTCTGATACAAGAACCATATGTTGTTAACAATTCCTTGGTCTGTTTCAGAAGGTGGCAAACATTTCCACCAGAAAATTTGAGTCAAATCTTAAAGTTGTACACAATAAGCAAATTGAGACCCATTTTGATTCAATGAACAGTACTTCAAACATTATTACGGTAAACACCAAAATAAATAATACAATTATCTCTTTCTCTTCAGTATACAGTTCTCCAAATGATGATATTCAATTTCTTCTTCTAGAACTAGAAAGGATCTATTCCCAAATATCAGAACCCTGGATAATAGGAGGCAATTTCAATGCAAAATCGCCAATCTGGCATAGTCCAAAGTGGGATCCAAGGGGGCGTCAAGTGGTAGAGTTTATGACAAGACATGCTATTTCCTCTAATAATCTAAACGAACTTGCTACATATTACATGGATTGTGGTGAAAGCTGGATAGATTTGTGCTTAACGAATCACCAAGCAAGACGTCTAGGTATCGAATGTTATACTCTTGATGAAATAAGTGGAAGTGATCACAGATATATTCAGTGAATGCTACAAAGTATACAAACTAATCCTAATAATCTGATAATGACAAAATGAATCAATTGGTCGCTATTCAGAGACCTTTTTCAAGACATCTGGGCACAAATTGAAATACATAACATTAACGACGTAAACCTCTTAGTCAACCATCTCACTACTTCAATGATAACTGCATTTGATTATTTAACTACGACGTATAAACAGCATAAACGTAAGAATACTCCATGGTGGAACGAAGAATTGGCTTCTCAATGAAGAAAAGTGAGAAGACTTGTAAAGAACTTTCAATGGGAACAGGATCCTACTGAAAAGAAAAGAAAGAGAGCCCAATATAGGATTCACTTTAATAATTACAAGACGGAGATCAATAAAACAACGACTCGAGCATGGAGGAACTTTTGCACAAAAATGGGGAAAAAGAATATGTGGAGCAATCCATACTATATAGTTTGTAAACCACGTGAAAAAATAACCATCCCATCATATATCCAGAAAGAAGACAGGCAATTTACTAATAATTACATCGACACAATAAAATATATCTTTGACAGTCAATTCCCGAATGATAATGAAAATGAAGACAGCCAGGACCAGACACAGACTCGACTGAATAGCAGGATTCCTCCTGATTCTAACAATAATATTCCATTTACATTTCAAGAAGTACAAAAGGCAATTATGACACAGAAAAACAGTCGAGCTCCAGGACGTGACGGTATCACTCCTAAAATGACCAAGCATGCATTAAAGGCAGTACCCATTACGTTCATGTACTGTATATATTCAACAAATGTCTTGAAACGAAACGATTCCTGGACCCGTGGAAACACACTGAGGTCAGATTCATACCGAAAGGAAGTAACACAAATATTACAAAAGTAGATCAACTTTGACCGATCAGTCTTTTATCAGTTCCAGGGAAGGTTCTCAATGGTCTGGTCATTAATCATATTAATTACTTTCTAAACAAAAGAAATCTACTTCATCCTGCCCAGTTCAGTTTTGTCAAAAGAAAATCAACTTATCACGCTATTCATGAGGTTGTAAACTTTTTTAAAGAAGCTTGGAGGAAAATGGAACACTATCTTTTGATCTCAATTGACTTTAGAAATGCGTTTAACACACTTTGGTGGTCAGCAGTTATGAAACAACTTAACTATTTAGATGCCCAAAAAATTTATTCCAAATTCTCAATGACTATCTGAAAGACAGCTGCTGGCATAACAGCAGATGAAGAATATATTATAAGATCAATTTTAAGAGGATGCCCACAGGGTTCACACTCAGGGCCCAGTTTGTGGAATATTGTCTATGACAGTCTTCTCCACATCAACAATACAAGAAAAAATTGTGATTGGAAAATACAGGGTTTCGAAAGACGACACCCTTATCATGATTGCTCACAAAAATAATGACGTTCTCCAAATAGAGGCAAACTTATTGTTGGGAAGAATCAACAACTGGTGTGAATTAAATAAACTAAACATTAATTATGGAAAATGCCGAAATATGATTATATCAAAAGGCCAGTTAAAAAAGGGCATTCAGGATAGTTATTAACAACAATAAAATTGTGAGCTCACGGATTTTTACAGGCTTTTTAAAAATCCAAATTTTCTGTTAATTGTCTTCGGAAAAACCCCGAAGAATTTGAACTAGATCTGATTTCACCCATTGTATAAAGACTAGCTGAGAAAGTTTACAGTTAGGTGTGAAGAATGCACCGTCATCGTCAACAAAAGTCAATCACGTGACAGTTTTCCCACGCTAATGATATAAAAGCTCGAATCTCCGGGAAGTTATACTTTGTGATAGTGCCCACCTCGACTCCCGAACCTCCATACAGCGGACTTGATCCAGCTACAGAGAGAGGACATCGGCAAGAAGACACGGAAGACACCACACCCTTCCATACAGACGACGTTCGCCAACTCTCCCTTCCACCGAGAGGTATTTAGGGGTTAGAATTTGTAAAAGCGCTCTCTCTCGAACTAGAAATTAGGTCAGCGACATAGCTACGAAATTTGTCGCCAATTTCTGTAAATATTTTAAAATAACCGCATTTAACCTTAGTAGTAAGTTCGCCTCTTGTAGTTTAGATTTGTTGATTCAATAAATGCTTTGTTATTTTGTTAATCTGTCTCCTGTCAATTAAGGACGCCTGCCGACTTACCGACGCACTCACCACTTGATTTGCTCTCCTAGCCATCCAACGACCCCGAGATTGGGTTTTACCTGCCTGTGCAGAGTAAGTGGTCAATTGAGACTTAGCCAGTGACCCACTGCTTATCTCACAGAATTAAAAATACAAAGAATTTCAAATACTTGGGAATTATATTTGATCAAGGGCTCACGTGGACCACACACTTAAACCAAACTTCTGACAGGGCAATTAAACTCTCCAATGCCCTTCTTCATTTATCTAACAAAGGATGGGGATTGAATGACAGAAATATCAAGATAATTTACAGAGCCTGTATAGAAACAAATATCCTTTATGGAGCACCTTTCTGGGCAGCCTGTAGATACAATTAGGACTCTAATTGTATCTGCAGGTTGCCCAGAAAACTACAAAAGAAACTAAATAAAATTCAAACATTACTCTCCTTCGGCTTTGCAGAGCATATTGAACAGCTCCTACTGTGGCTCTGCAGGTGTACTTCCTCTACATATTAGGGCCAAAGAAGTGATGTGGAATTGGTACCTAGGAAAAAATGGAATCACATAGCAGAATGATGATAAAATTGTTAACTATATTCGCATTGGTCTTCTTCCTAACATGAGCATATACCTCCTTAACAGGCTAGTCACAGAAAGCCCATTGCCTCACAAAATCTTTAACATTCATCCAGCAAAATACTCATCTACTGCTATTAAATCTCTGGAAGATAAAGTCTAAGCTACTTACACAAGTTTCATGGATGGCTCAAAACAAAATGATAAGGTAGGAGCAGCATATGTTACAATGAAAAATAAGTCAACAACTCTGATCTTTACTGCTGGATACAGACTAGAAAGCTTCTATACAGTCCCTCAAGCAGAATTGTATGCCATTTTTAAAGCTGTTAATTATCTTAGCAACATGGAGATTGAGAACCAAATAGTAAGGATTTGCAGTGACAGCCAAACCACCATCCAAAAGCTCAAAAATCCAATATGTTACTTTCCTCATATGGTGTTTCATGAAATCCAAAATAACAGTAATTCAATCATGTTAACCTGGGTTAAAGGGCATGCAAGCTTAGCTGGCAATGAGGCAGCTGATAAACAAGCAAAGTTAAGTGCAAATTCCTCCTTCCCTCCTGAGTTCAGCAACATTCCCTAAACCATATCAAGAACACTGTTCATGCTACTGCTATCAGCCTTTGGCAAAGGGAATGGGAGAATGGTAACACTGGAAGGATAACGGTTTCCTTCATCTCCAGCACAGAGACAAGACTTAAACTGAAGCATCTTTCCATCACATATATAAATACACAAATTTTTACCAGACATGGCAACCTTGAGGCCTATCTTCATTGGTTTGGTAACAGAAAAACTCCCTTATGTGGCTGTAACAACACCTCAATACAAGACATTCATCATTATATATTTGATTGTGATAACTTCACACATGAACGAGAAACACTTCTAAGGACTGCACTCTCCCAAGGACTCAACTGGCCACAACTTCGTCATGGATCAAAAACTTTTTAAAAGTCTCAGGGACTTCCTTGCTTCAACTGGAGTGTTGGAATCTGACTATTGATCATCACAACAGTGAGTGCATTTGTGTAGTGTAAACTTTACTTCAATGATTGATCACAAATGTATATAATGTATTCTATGTTTCTATGTCGTTCCCACAAAGTGTAGTGGATTTGCTTTTGGTACATATTCAATGCTGCTATTGTATTGTTTGTTATTTTATTTCTGTATTCTTTATATTTTTACTTTGATTTAATAAATCCAGCAAAGACCCTGTGCCTCCCTTTTTCCGCCCCTATCCTATTTTCTGTATTTTCACCTTCACTTCGCCTTCACATTCTGCCTTATTTTCAAGCCAGGTAATACCACTGAGTGCACCTGGTCTTCCATCCCTGTCAGCTACAAGTATACAAGTGTAAATAAAATAGATTTATAACGTTTACTGCAGGTTTAGTTGTTAGGTGTTTGCCTTGGTGGGCTAATGTAAACCCTATCATCAGGGGCAGATCTACATAGGGACTAATAGGGCTTACGTCCTGGGCTCCCAAGTGTCAAAGGGCCCCAAAATTGAATTATCATCATAAATTTTTAATACTTTTTCATTAACAATGAGCACTTATCATATAGTAAAAAATAGTTAATAGGTAGGTTAGGTTAGGTAAAAATGGGGCCCAATTGGACTTCAATAAACCCTAGGCCCTGAAAAACCTAGATGTGCCCATGCCTATCATACATCTCACAACAGTATAACTTTGGTGTCCAGATTTAACATATGACAATTCAGTTTAAGGCATACTAAAAGAGAAAAAGAAAAGCAAACACAGATAATTTCTGATATGCATAAGGACTTTTGACCACTCTGTACTTTTCATTTCCTTACATATCAGATAAAATTGCTTGAATTAAATAACAATTACCCATTATCAAGTCCATTTAGTCCAACTTTAAGGCCCAAATCACCAACACTTACACCTGGATACGGTAGATGAGTTTTTGGATCTCTGACGGGAACCACGAACACATGAAGACCATGGCATACATTATCTGGTGTGTAAAGCTGAGCATAGACTAAAGCATGTGTAGCTGTCTGACCTAAATTTCCTATCCAAATTTTAGTACTTTCAATTCTTGGAGAATGCAGAATGAATTCCTAAGTTATTAATTATCAAAATTTATTATTGAGTTACTTTTAACTACGGAAAGTAATTAGATATTCAACCTGGGCTTTAGGATCGTACGTAGCTGTAGTTTCCATCCTTTTACTATCAGATCCGTGGCTTATTTCAGTTAATGCAAAGCATCCCGAAATCTAAAAAAGTAAAAAAAAAACAATTAAAAAGATGTTATAATAGTAGCATGAATTAGATTTTAAAATTACATCTAAATTCTACTGTAAGTTTTATCATAAAGTTAATAAAGTATGCAAATAAGTTAGGGTCTCTACCCCTAAGTAATAATGGTTAGAGGTCCAACTTTAGAGGTAAGGATTCAATATACAGGAGCTGTAATAAGGGTCTAGAAGAACTGAAACTTGGTCACTGTGGCAATATAGAAAAACCAAAATCAAATTATTTAAGTAAGGCTCATGTTTAGGCTAAACTGTAAGATTATTTTCAGGCTTTATTAAAGCTAATTTTAATTAATTGTTATTGAAATTTGGTTTCTGTAGTATGCAGAGGAGTTGTAGGTTCAAATCACTCAAAATTAATTTTCAATTTAGAATCTTTTTACAAGATGGTAGCATAAACACTTACTTTAAAGTCAGATTTCAATAATTATTTATGTAAGCTAGCCTTAATGTGATCTGAAAAATGTCTGAGCTAATAACCATCATCTTTTTACATTGACAGACAGCTTTTTGGAGGTCCTAGGACAATCCAAATCATTAGCAATTTTTAATGTCAATTAGAGAAATAGGCATATAATTCTAGTTTTTTCCACTCTCTAACTGTCATTCAGCTCATTGTATCATCTCCCAATCTTCAAAATTTATTATGCATAACATAGAAATTTCTGTAATTTATGAAATAAAATTTTTACTATATTGTTATCAAATATTGTTATAATTGCATTTTTACCTCATGGTTTTCTATCTGATCAATAAGATATTGATGCCTTTCCGTTCCCATCGACATAATAATAGTTGAAAATAACTAAAACAAGCAGAAAAGATCAAGTTAAATACAGTTTATTAAATTATGTATTTCATTAAATATACATTTTAGTTACCGAATATCCCACTCCTAATTTTATACATAAAGAACTGTCATACATTATAAGCAACATATCTAGATACATATTTATAAATGGATTATTTTTGTACTCATCAAAAAGACCATTTTTCAAAATGTGTTGACATCTTCGAAGAGTAATTTGTCTATAATTTTGCAACGAATCTTCTTGGTGCCTTTGTGAAAATAACGGATTATTTTCCATTAAGTTGCAAACTTTGTACTGAAAGAAAATAATTATGAGTAAATAAATTTATTTTTTAATGCATTATTATTATTATATATTCTTCATAAATCAACTATGATATTTACTGACAAAAACACTTATATAAGGGTCCATTCATTAATTATGTGTACAGTTTAAGGGGATGTGAAAAGTATATTATTATTGTGCATGATGGGGAAGGAGAGGTCGAGAGATGTTTATGTGGACTTTTATAGTGGTATTAATGGTATATGAATTTATTCTTATAAACCTACTTACCAGTCATGTGAGTAAACTATCAGAAAATATTTGCAGAACTTTTTTAAAATTTATGGTACTTTAATGTGAATTATTGTACATGTAATTAAAGAAGAGAGAATTGGCCAAAAATACATCATTGTACACAACAAGGAATTAAAAACAAGAAAATAAAAACTAAAGTGAATTAAAAACTGTAAACATACTTAGTGGACAGTCTTTGAGAAGAAAAGAAACATATGATAAAACCTATAAAATTTTTAATCTCTAAATAATAAACAAAATTTAAAAAATAGAAGCATTCAATTTTAGAAATTTCCCAAAAATAATTGAAGAAACACAAAAAAACCTATTCATTGGCTGACCACAAAAGATTTTAATTGTTTTCTATAGCCATCAGATTGTCTGTTGCTGCACATTCTTCAAATGCAGTATTAAAAAAAATTACATGTATTAACATTAATTTTAATCTTTGACTTTTCCATCACCTTGGAAATATTCCTTAAAAAGTCTGCAAACATCAGATAGAAATGCGACAGTATCTTCTTTTGTAATATACTTAACAGTGATAAATGTCATCTGTAAAGTATACATCTATTAATTATATCTACTTAAGACATGTTAAGCAATATGATAAGCATTTAATATTTGCTTTGATTCAACCATGAATATGTAGGGTTGCAGAGAGCTTGTATGCCATGTGTAGAGTGGGGCCCCTTTTATTATTTTGAACAAATGAAATATATAGAATGTTTCTTTATTAATAAAATGCAGTCTTGTTATTTATATATGTGGGAATCACTACAGGATCCTGTGTTTCCTCTATACCTGGGAAAAAAATCCCCAGCTTCCCCTCCGTCTAGATGACCTTGTGAATATGTCCACATATATACTTTATTAAAATGTGGATATATTTTTATATATTCTATACTCATTTTTATTTATCAGGGTAAAGGGTCTTTCAAATGTACCATCATTGCACATTGTCTCTTTTAATTAATGGAATGTACAGAAATAGACTGCTCATTTAATGACTGTTTCCCACAAACCAACTAATGAATAAAGAACAGAAATATTGTACATTACATGATCATAAAATGAAAGAAAAATCAGTCTTTGCCGTGTTATTCAATTAGAGTTAGTGAAACAATAGTAAATTAATAGTAATTTATTATATCACAAATAGACTATATAATTAATAAGATGATAGGCAATAGCATAGACCAAACTGAAAGACCAAATTTATTATAAATTTATACTATAAAAGCCCAAATAAGAACAATAACATGTGTACGGTACATTACAACTGTCAGGTCTTATGAGTTAGTAAAATAATCAATTAGAAATATGAAAGGAACTTTGGAATCTACTATAATTCCAAGGTCATTAAATATTAAAGGAGGTTCTTTACCAAGTTTACAAACACAAAACTTCTGACATCAGTATAGAAAGGAGAGAGAAAAGAATTTCTGAACAAGGACAACATAGTATTATGTTTGCTAGAAGATTGTACAACACAAGCTTGTCACTCTGCTGTATTCACCATCTTTAGATAAACCTAGAGTAAGATTTAAATTGCAAATTTAATTGAAATTGGTAATTAACCTACCTGAATTCTAGATTAACTCTTAAATCTAAACTGTAATTTCTTGAATTACAGGTTAACTGTTTAATTAAATTCTTTGTAAAAGGACATGGACATATTTAACTTTTATGATGATTTTCAGTTCTTGCAAAAAGTTGAAAATTTGCAGATATACTCTAAATTACTACATTGTCTTTGGATTTCTTGTTTAGAAAATTTCTATCTTTAATTCTGCTTAATCTTTAATACTACATTAAAGAGAATCAATCCCAATAAAGACTTTGAACCTGATTAAAATTTTCCATTTGTACAAAAAAGAATTAGCTGATCCCAATCAATATTCTAACTGGGTTTACTTTAGCACCCTTCTGCAGCTGAGTTGATCTTTAAGTGGATTAATGGCATGTAATGGGAGGGAGTCATTTTTTGTCCAATTGCCATACTTTTCCTCTGTTATATATAACAGAGACGGGAAAGTTAAAAGCAACCTTATATAATCCAAATATATAGTAGGCTCTCGATTTAGTAAACTGTGAAAGATCTGAGAGGATTCACTGTATCAAGAGTTCACTATAATGTAAACAATAAGAAGTATTAGCTTAATGTTCCCTATAACCAGTGGTCATTACATAAAAGTCCACTATACACAAGTCTGCCGAGTGGATAAAAAACCACCAAACACTTGTGGTACAGCAGTCGGTCGTGGGTGTGGCAGTACACCATACTTTGTATAGTATTAAGTTTATATCTTATTTTATTTTTAATCTTCTTCTATCTCTTTGTACTTGCATATCTTTTGTTTTCCATATTCTGAGAATTTTAGTACCCAACTCTTCCTAACCAGGGCGTGGAGGAGAAGACCCCGAAGACGTGGAAGAAAGGTTCTGGGTCGTGTCAGCATGGACAAGAGTTTGAGACCGTGGTGTCAGATATAGACAGATAAGAAGTTTTTTTGTTACTAAGTGTTATAGCGAGGACTTCTCGAACTTCCCTCATCACAAACACTAAAAGAATGGTTCTGAGAAGCAGAATGGCTAGGATGTTTGAATTGGATCCGGACCAATGCATCAAAAGATTAGTCAAGATTTGGGTACCCCTGTCCTATAAATCCTTCTTTCCTTTCTTCTCCTATCTGCATGTACATTTCCTTAATTTAGTATATAAGCAGGTTAAGATACTAGGCTAAGAGCGCAGTCCGCGATCGTAAAGTCTCCGCACCATCACGTTTCATAACCAACGGAAAGTAGAAATTGTGACGATATTCCTCGTGCAGAGGATTTATTGTACATACCTGTTTGCAGAAGGAAAATCTGGGACTGGCGTAAGAGTTGGGACCTATAAACACTTTGTTTATATACAAAAATAAAGTCTGCATCTCGTATATTATACTTTGCGCGATTACCTTTCGCTTCGAACGTTGGCACGGGTTTGCACCCGGCCAACGAGCCGGCCACACGGAATTTTCCGGGATTTCTCCACGTTTGTAACCAGTCCCGTCTTTAGGGCAGGGCCTACGGGAACCCGGCCCGGGGCCCCCAGACCGTAGGGGCCCCTAATCCGAAAGTAATAAAGTTACAAATAAAAAATAGGTTAATTAAAATAAACAAATTATTAAAAATATCAAATACTTTATTTCTCCGATACGTAGTTAAAAATGATCTTAAGACTAAGCAAACTTGCAAATTTTTGATACTTATTCACCACACCTCGGCCGAACACGGTACTTTCTTCCCGCTGCGCGGAAAGAAAATTCCACTTCCTGGCCGAGGGAGGTGAAAAATCGTATATACTCCAAGGGAGGAAATAAATAATGCATCCCTAGGTCTGTAATATACTTTTGTTCTGTTTCATTAAGGGGGCCCCATCTTAGTTCCGGCCCAGGGGCCCCTTACGTTCTAACGACGGCACTATTTGTAACACCTAAATAGAGGTCAGTTTTCCTTGGAAAGTCCTCCCAGAGTGTCCCCGTGCGTAGCGTTACCGTATACAAATAAAACCAAACCACAGTAAATTAAGTTATTGTTACAACGATATAAATTTTACTCTCAGAAAAATGTCCTATTTATTAAATATACGAGGAAAAGATACAAATGTATATTCCTAGAATTATCAATAATTTAATGTGATAAAATAATCATTAAATATCTTACTTGTACTCGAATACAGTCGTCTCCTTCCATTAATATTCTCATTTTTCTCCAATCGAATGTAGCTTTTTTTCTATATTCGTCCAAAGGACCGGGTGGAAATTGTTTCAAACACTCCATTTTAGAGTCGAGCGAAGGAAGAAACCTGCGAGCAACGAGATTTCTTTTAGTTACATTACAACTTTCCTCTACGACGATTAGAAAATATTTATTGTTTCTAATCTGAAATCTCGACCAAAGTTCAACTGGAATATCTTACGTGTACGTGTGAGTTCTATACACGCCCAGTACATTTGCAAATCATCTTACAAATATATATATTTTTTAAAAAAGTCCAAAAATATTCACTAAATATACTCTTATTTCTCGCCCGTGTATTTATTTGTACACCGGACAATATAATTTATACAATGTTCTACGTTTTTCCCATTTTATAGCAGAATCTACGATGGAAATGGAACCCGATGGTTTTCCGGTTTACTTAAACGTCCAATTTTTTAATATTAAACATTACAAATCTTTTAATATAAAACTTTCAAACGTTTGTACTCGGCAATTATATTAAGGATAAGTTTTCGACATTTATTTATTTTTTCTTTATCCGTGTCCGATATTAATTAACGAGATGTTAAGATTGCGGAAATTAGTTGCCCCATAGAGCAGTTTTAATACAGCCGTGTAAGCCAACAAACGCTTATTCAATCGGGCGCGTCGGGTAAAGCCACGGCCCATGGGTGGCCGAGTCGGTGGCGGGCAGCGCAGCCCGCGGACTACAGACGAGGGGGGACACGAGCTACGAAAAAAATGGCATGGCGCCAGAAGCTTTAAATTACGATTGGACTTGGGATCGGCACTCGGGCTAACTCCGGCCGGAAAATAAGGAACGGGGTTTCGGTCGTCGTACTACCGAGTCGCACGGGTCAATGGACAAATATCGTTAGTCAGTTTCTTTTACATTTGCGAGATAGAAATGGCGAATTTTCTGTTGTTTGGGGCACGAGCCCCGATGTACGGGCGCCCACCATTCCATCTACCGTTTCAGTTTCGGGAAGGGATTAAAAAGTATTTTTATTTTAAATTATCGGCAATTTTTATTATTGTATCGAAGGTTTTACTGCTTAAAAAAAATAATTACTGCGGGAAAAAGTTAATTGCATTTCGACATAATAACACAATTAATACTAATTACACTCATTCCAGTAATCAAGCTATTTGTAAAATAATAATTGTCGTAATAAATAATTTACAAATATTTTAAAAATTCTTAAATAATGATACTTTAGTAAAATAAATTTATTTCCATAATCTATCATTTTGAAAAGCAGTGTTTCTTAACAGGGGGCCGCGCCCCCCGGGTGTCCGTAAGAAGTTTGCCAAATTATGCAAAATTTCCTTCAGAATATAATAAAAGGAAAATTGATGTAGAACCGAATATCGTATGGAAAAGCGAAAAAAGAAAGATAAAGTTTTCGTATTTAGTTTTTTTTTTATTTCTTTCTTCCTACATACGACTTTGTTAGTACTGAAGAAATAAACGCAAATTACACCGCAGTATTTACTTCTTTTATTCCAAAGTAATTGTAAGAAACTATTAATGCTTGGAATTTTAAAAATAAAGCGATAATAAAAAAATCAATTTATTGTAGATAATTTAACAAATATAAATTATTATTTAAAAAAATGGGGGTGACAAAAAAATTATGAAATATTTGGTGGGTGGCGAGTATAAAAAGATTAAGAACCACCGTCGTAAAGGATAAAATTATAAATGACGCCAAGTTAGGATTAGATTAGGATGGGTTTCTTTACAAAAGGATAAGCGTAGCACCCTGGGCTGGCGCCGCCATGGGTCGACAGTTTCTCGGACTGACGTCATCTATCCGATTCCTATAGTCCAAGGTTCCGTAGCGGTTCTACACCTACGAAATTAATACTAACGGGAAAAAAACTAAAGGGGGCCAATAAAGGACAAAACGGGCAACCGCTCTAACTCCGGGCCCCGCACCAGCGATGGATGTTTCACCAGTTCCTTCTCAAAATCCGTTCGATAGATTTTGATTAAACTTTGCCATTTTCCAGTAATTTTTACGCAGAATCAAAAAATGCAATAAAAAGGGTCCACGGTTCGTTTTCTAGACGTAAGGGTCGGTTCACCGGCGCGCGCGTCAAGGCGATATAACGCGAATGGCGTAAGTTTGTCACGCGACATTTCGCCGTCTCTAGCACTAGGGTTTGTCAAACCAGATCCCGGGAAATCCCGCAAATTTCTTAAAAGTTCACTTCTTTTTTATTTTGTGTTAAGGTCGAGGAAATTTTGCAATTAGAAAATATAATTAACTCGTAAACTGTCGTATTTATTCATTTTAAACCTAGTTATTAGTTTTTTTTTTTTTAATTTTCTCCTGGTTACGACACGTCACAAACGGTCGATAGCCTATTTGCGGCGGGACTAGGAAAATTCTTTACCGGTCGGAACCCGTAATATCCGGAATAATTGCGCTTATACCGTCGCTAAGCGCGTAACGCCGGGTTGCGCAAATCGGGCCAGGATACGAACGAGTAGCAAGTTTTTCTTGGTAAACTCGATTATTAAAGCCAAACGAATTGCCGAATTATCGGGCTATAAGCCGGATGCCGCTATTAAAGCGGCCGAAGTAAACTAATTTTAAAATCTTATTATAAAAATTTGCCGTAATATTTTGTATTACGTTTTATTTAAGAAAGGAAAATCACCTTTTAAGTTACAAGTTCGATCTAAGTTCATTTTTCATACGTATCTTACGCGGCATTATTAATATGATTTCGGAGGTTGCGGAACGTATTAAATTACTTTAAAAAACGAAAAATAATGATATCATTTGATTTCGTGATATTTTGTATATCTTAAAAATAATTAATTGTCCCGGGAGACAGTTTACTTTATCCCGGAAGGCCGGGACCGGGAAATGAGAATCCCTGTGTCGTACCAGCTTCCGGAATGAAGTTTGTTCTCAAAATTTAATGCATCGATTTTGATAAAACTTTGCTATTTTCCATTAATTGAGACGAGAAATCCAGAAATGTAATGCGCCCCATTTAAATGTAAAAAATCCAGCGACAAATCGCTCGACTTTCCCGGCAACATTTAATGGCGCTCTCTGTTATGTTTTATTTAAAAAAAACTGTTTCCATTTTTAATTATTATTAAATTGCAAAAGGCTTAATTTTGATGGGTTTTATAGAAAATTGTAAATGCTTATAACCGGCGCTTTTTGTTGTCATAGAACGCGATGGAACGGCGTTCCACCACCTTTTTCCATATATTTTAAAAATTTCGAGAGAATTTTTAAAAATTTGATGTTTGGTCCGCGTTGAATCGCTCTGTCGAGCGTAGAAGATCGGCGACAAAATTAAGACGGTCCCGCTCCCGCTGGCCTGCCGAATCTCGCGTACGATGCACGCGTGCCGCTAGGCTCCTGTCACCATTTGGCGGCGCTAATTGCCACCGTTTTCTATTTCGTTAGCAGCCCGGGAAGCCACCTAGTGGGCGTTCCCCACTAGGTGGCGTCCCGGGTTTTCTTTTTACAAAAAAAAGCGCCGCTTATAACCAGTAAAATCTTCATTTAGTCGGACCCGAGTCCTTTAACTTCCAAAATTTAATAGCGTCGTTCCACCAATACCCAAGTATACTGCGGGGTGGGCGGAAAGTAATTAGGCATGGAGAAATCGCTTTCAGTTTTGTAATAACGAAGCGACCGTAATAAAATTTACGCGTAAATATACATCGATGGACGAAATGGTATAACTCCCGCATCGGCGATTCGGACGGGGTCCGAACGGTGGCAAAAAGACTGCCGACCGCTGGTCCGTACGGGAGCGAGGCGGTTGGCCGCGCGCCGAGATGCGGAAATCGACGATCGACGCGTAGAGAGGGTGACGTATAGCGGAGGGACGTCGTCCCGCCATCCGACCGGAAACTATTAAGAATTGTCGTCGGAAAGTTCGATGGCCAATCCGCGGAGAAGCGGCCGTCCACCCACCATCTCGGGAAATAGCTTAAAACTTAACGTAGCCGCGGCACCGGTGACTACATTAAGTTTTAAAGTATCGTTTTATATTTCAATATAATAAGGTACAGTACCCGTACGTGCCGAATAATTCTCGTCATCTTTCCGCTTAGAAATATATAAATAAAAGCGATTTCTCCATGACTAGTTACTTTCCACCCACCCCGCGGATTAATAATAAGATATAATATTAATTAACAACTATATTTTCATAAATTAATAAAAAAGATAATTTTTCTGTCACTTTTGCATTATCGTCTCGGATTAAAATTTATGTAAGAAAATTAAAACTAAATCTCGAACGC